AAAGAATTTAAGATTCCCTGCATAAACTGAAAAGAACCTAGGTGACCTCTATAAGGGCATCAGCGAACATGTGAAGTGACCTCCACAACACAGTTTATGGTAGGTTTTTTGGAATTCAGAGCATTCAGGAAATTTGAATATGTGGCGTATCTGAGAACAAAAGTCGTCGTGAACGGTTCCCGCTTTGGTTTTCCCCCTCAACCTTTCCCAGGTCATTTCACGTGTCGATGCGGTTTAGTCTTGAGCGCAACATTTTATCGAACTCTTCTGCATTTGGGTCTGAACCTGCTAATCTTCTAGCTCTAAAGCTCCCAGTCCAAACTGTTCTCCCTACACAGCTTTCCATAAAATTTTATAACTGTTTTCATTTCCTCCCACGATGTCAATTTAAGAAAGTGGTCCGGCTGTCCAGTGAACATGTTGTGTTTGCTTTTTCATTCTCGCACCATACACTCTAAACATCGAAACGAACGAACCCCTTGTGCGGTTGTTGAGAGCATTAAATTCACAACGCGATATTCCCACGATCGAAGCACGACCGAGGATCTCAAGTTTTTAGAGGAAAAGGTGACAAGGACAACAGATTGGGATGGGAAAAAATGGCTCTCAGCTTTTCAATCCAAAAGTCCAAAGTCCTGCTATGAATATGAGTGTGACTTATAGGTTTTGGGTTAGACTACTGAGACAACCCTCACAAAAGATGCCAATGAAAAACCTTCAAGGGCACTTTCAGAAATGACTGCATTCTCGTTCCGTTAAAAAAAACGGTAGGGGGAAAAGATAAAATTACGTTGCACAAAAAGTTGTAACCTTCGATCTCTTTTGATGTGACCGAATTTATTGAAATCCGAAGTTCCAGTTAGGTTCAAGCATGCGGTAGAAAAATCGCCTCTGATGCAAGTAGAAGTACCACCATGCATTTCAGTTCTCTTGAAAATCTTCGAGGCACTCAAAAATAAACCGTTACTCCGACCGGAATGAATCCATCACATTCCATGCTCTGTAATTGTTCACAATGCGAGTACCGTAATACAAGTATCGAATCATGGGCAATAAGGAGGCGTTTCAGCTGAAATCCGAACCCGAATGGTATCTCGTACGCATCTGATGGATCATCGGAAGTTCCTTCAGTTTTTGATGGGAACTTCAACTACACCGGAGCGCATTAGCTTCAACTCGCCCCGGTGACAGAATCTGAGCCTTGCAGTTTTTTCTAGAGATATCGCCATTACGATGATTTGAGAGCCTTTTGCTGATATTTTAGAGATCCATTTGGGCATCAAATACGGCGAAGCCTACCTTGGATTTATGCTTGCTTTGCTTTGGATGTAAAGTCGGCAGAACAAACCCCTTCTGGAAGCGCCACGCCCATAGAGAATCGTATTTTTCATTCATATTGAGCCTGAACAATAACTTTGGAAGTTTGGAGGATTCTCGAAGGTCTGTTTCAAACTCGGTAGGAGAGGATCTTGTGGTTACAAGTGAATCAGATTTCTGAAGAGTACTAGCCGTAACGCCTAGGTATACTCCACAAAAGGGCCCCTATCCCAGGTTTCTGCTAAATTGATGTAGTCTAAAGAAAATTTTTTGGGTTTTTGGGATACACGTCACACGACATCCTTTTAAAATCGTAGACGGTGATGTTTGGATGCGTATGTGATCTGCAATGATTCACGTTGACATGCACAAGTCGGTGCTTCTCTCCATACTCAGTTGAATTTAAAACGTGTATGGTACCTCGCTGAGCCGATGGAAGGCTTGGTTTGCGTGGGCGAGTACCGATCCGAGAACCAATCTCTGGCCCACATACGTGTGTTAGAGCCCTATTTCACTGCATAGACCATCGATGATTTATATTATTAGACTTATATAAGTTACCACACTACACTTCATCTGCTTTGCTAATATGATAGTACAAAAAAGGTGCTAAATTACAACATTTACGCCAGAAAGGGTTCATAAGGAGCGCACTGGAGCCACACGTAGGGAAGATCAGAAGGATATCAATCACAACAAGTACTGAAATTTAAAAACTATTCAGAACACCCCCCCCCCCCGAAGTAGTTTTTGATTTCAATGAAAAATCCAAACATGCTGATTATTGTGTATATGGTAAAATTTGATGTTGAAAAAAGTGTTGTATAAAAATAGTAATTGCCATCAGTGTCAAGGAAGGCAAAACATAATTACAAAGTTGAGCCAATGGCAAGTGGATCCGCTACCGTATGCACGGTCCCAGTTCGTTCCTTTCCAATCCGTTCACAATTTTTTTTTCATAGAAGACCAGGTGCTGAACTTTCATTTGGAGAAAAATAGTTCAAATCTGCTATCACATAGGCTTAAATAAGCCAAGCCAGCGAGCAAGCATAGAAAACAGTGCGATTTGCACGGAAGTCGATTGAATGGCCCACTATGGAACATATAAATTAGAGAAATTCGTCTTCTTTCCCATTGGAACAATACTTTCCCTTGAAAATTTCATTTCAGCCACTCTTGTACAATCTTAACCATTCTATATACAGAAACTGATGTTACCATGAGTTAGTATCAACGTAATTCAACAGACTTTGAAACTAATTAGAGACCCGAAATGTTGACCATTATGGAAGGTAACTGGGTAGCCAGTGTCAATATTTACCTGTTTTGGCGATCAGCCTACGGCCTAAGTTGTCAAGTGCTGTCATTCTGTGTTTGCAACTGTGGCACAGCTACACTAAACGGTCGCTCGAGTAGCGGCTCAGGATAACACCGGCTTTATTACATCGAGAACTTTCCATTTTCAGTCAAGGCCGACGTCGTCTTCACTCGAGAACGGTGCGATCGGTCCCAGTTCGGTCTTCAGCCGCTTAGAGGAGAACCGTCGCGCTACCGACAATGTGGCCCGAATGGACGAGTCTGGATTGTCCCATGTATGCCTGGGGCTCTCTTTAATCCACTGATTAAGGTAACAGAAAATTGTCCAGATGCTCTCCTCTCGTTTATTACTAGAAAGGTGGAGATGATCATCATTTCCAGTTTAGGGATCCAACTTGGTACTCCATTTCATCCCTCTACTTACTTTAGGTTTGCAAAGAGATGTCAGTGCCGCCTAGATCTCCATCCAGAGAAATTACAGTAAATGTAAGTTTTCAAAAAAAAACTTCAAGAAATCGCTATATAGTGGGTAGGTGATGGTTGCCCGGGTTCGACAAATATATGTTAGGGTTCGTTCGTGACAAGTAGATATTAAGCTGTTTTTTAGCCCTGTTTCATTAATATAGAGCAAGGCTTCCTCTCGATAACCGTTTGATGCTATATTTTTTTCCCGAAATTTCAGGCGCGGCGTCGAACGCAGGAGGCAATACCGATCACTGAAGAATTCATCTTTTCGACTCGACGGCCAAAACGGCCGCGTCCCAAGACGAAAGGGCGTACCTTAACTTCTGCCGTATCCACAACTGTACCTCCTACTCCGGCTACTTCCCCTTCTATCAGCTCTGAAAATCCATCTGTGAGCTATACGATGACTACGGCAGTTCCGCCTTCATCACTTACACCGAGAGAGGCCAATCCTTGGTCATACAGTCCAGCATTCACGCCTCCGACTCGCAATATTGCAACATTTGCCACCGCTCCGCTTGTACATCCGACTTTATGGCCAATAAGGGAAGTAGCATTGAGTCAGCAAACCCTGAGTCAACAATCCCAATATGCATACCCTGATATGGTCGGTCCAATACCCATTAGCGAATCGCACTTGACCGGGAGTTATCCGACAAGCCATGGTACCACTGGCCAGGAAAGAACTCACCCTGAACTAGTATCGAAGGGTGTACCAGTTATTGAGCAAACCGGTAACTACCCAACGAATGAGCAGGATTTCTTGAGAGGTTTACTACGACTGGTCAAGTCTCATCAGGTGGCTATCGATGGCATCAGAGAGGAGCCCAGCAGAATACCTGTAGAGATGCTAAGGGGCAGTAGTCCTGAGAGGAATAGCAATTTTATAGATTATCAGACAAACGCACACCATTCAAATGAACTCCAAAATCGTATCGAAATCGACAGGGAACGATTAGATAAGCAGCGACAGAAGGAATTATTACAACAGATAGAAAAGCGAAGAGAGAAAGAGAGAAATGAGCAACAAGAAATAGCTCGACAGGCCGAAGAGAATCTAAGGAAAGAAAGGCAAGAATGGGAGAGACAGCAAGAAAAGATAAGACAGATCGAGGAGAAACATAAAAAGGAGAGAGAACTGAAGAGACAGCAGCAGATGGCTCGACAGATCGAAGAGAGGCGGAAAAAGGAGTATGAAGAAAAACAGCGGCAAATACAGGAAGCTGAACAAAAGGAGAAGAATGAGAGAAAGGAAAGGCAAAGACAGTTAGAACTGGCACGACTGGCTGAAGAGGCTCAAAGGAAGGAGAGAGAAGAAAGGAAGAAGCAACAGGAAATAGCTCGCGAAATGGAGGAGAGGGAACGGAAGGAAAAGGAAGAATATGAAAGACAGAGGCAAGTTGCTCGTGAAATCGAAGAGAGGCGAAAGATTGAATTAAAGGAGGTGGAGAGACAGCGGCAACTTGTACAGCAATTTGAAGAGAGGAAGAAGAATGAGAGAAAAGAAAAACAGAGGCAAATGGAGTTAGCTCGACTACTTGAAGAGGATAGAAAGAAAGAGATGGAAGAAAAGAAGAGACAACAGGAGGCAGCTCGTCAAATAGAGGAGAGGAAAAGAAAGGAAAAAGAGGAGCAAGAAAGGCAACAGCAATTGGCACGACAGATCGAGGAGAGACAAAAGAAGGCAAAAGAAGAACAGGATAGGTTGCAGAAAGTATACATACAGATCGAGGAAAAGAAAAAGAAAGAGAAGGAAGAAAGAGAAGAGTTACAAAAACTAGCCCAACAGATTGAAGAGAGACAAAAGCAGGAGAGAGAAGAACAAGAAAGGCAGCAGCGATTGGAAAAGAAGCAGAAAAAGGAGAAAGAGGAGCAGGAGAGACGGAGACAGAAGGAACTGGAAGAGCAGGAAACCCTGAGGAACCAAGAGCAAAAGCGTCTTGAGGCAGAGCGGATCAGACATGAAGAAGAATGGAGACGAATGGAAAAACTAACACGAGTTGAAGACCGAAACGGAGTAGCAGGTACAGCTGAACAAAACAATTTTAATTTTGCAAAATTTCAAAATTTTTAGCAATTACAGAGTCAGTACATGAAGCTGGTAACATTGGATATCATTCAAATATTGTTTCTTCGAACGCTGTCGTGCCAGAAAGGATGAACTCTTTTGACATGTCAGTTTAATCAAGCATCTTAGAGCTACATATAACCTCTAAAACGTAGGAAACAGAACAAACCCTGGCGAAAGATTCTATTTAGCGAACAGTCAAATTACTCATAGGATGTATTTCTTGAAACGATCAACTAAAATTTTCTTAGCCAAATCTTTTCTGTTTCCCTTTATTCATGAAATTGATCTCACCCCATTGATGGAATTTCAGGTATCAAACCTTGTTAAATGTACGTCGCTTAACCGAAGGATGGTGCCCACGTTGTTAGAAAACCGATTTAACAGAGAGAGGTTCAAGGTGTGGGGCAATACTCAGATGCGAACGAGTTCAGCTATCATTGGAATAAATAGCGATCCACCAATTATGAGCGATCGTGCAGCTATTTAGATCAGCTCGCTCACCATGCTCATTTCCTCATACATCGTAATGATTCCTAATGCTAGAAAAGAATATAAATTATTTCGATAGTAAAAAATGCAATGTCAAGCTAGGAATGGTTCTGAGTCGGTAGCCTTCCTATTACTATTATATTTCCCACCTCTTTGAATAATTAAAACTCTCTTATGACAGATTCTTACACCTGTATATGCGCAAGCAGTAAGTGAAAAAGTCATTCGGCAAAAGCAAGGTTCATGAGACCGAATTCTGTTCAAACTAGAAATGGGGCTCCTGCTCCCATTTGACTGCATGACTTCTACCAGACGCTCTTTAGAAAAAGAGGAAAATTTTGAGAAAGGTCATCAAAGTGCGGGCCTTATATTAATTCAACTGATCCTCACCTCCACTTTCAGGTTGACATCGGCTGTCGAATCAAATAGAATCGCCTTTTTCACATCCAAGCCTCCCACGACTTCTTCGCCGGTGCTTGAATGGGTAGCAAGTCCAAATTCTTGGCGCCCGTCACCAGATCCAACTTTGAATCAGCCTAAATGGATTCAAACTACAGTAAGCTCGTAAAATACTGCCAAGGAGCCGTATCTGTTTAAATTGCTTAAAGTAATTTCTCACTTTTCAGACAACGGAACCGCCCTCAAAAGTAATTCCTGGATGTGATCTGAGCGAAGACTGTCATTTTAGCTATGAGCAGGATCTGCTATGTGCTCATCCCAAGTAAGCAATCCAACACGTGGTTGATACATGCATCCTTTCGATTGGAAATAGAATTTGGAAGGGACAATTAGAGTAGCTGCACCAAAGGCATCAAACCATAGGATCTGTAGACAGGGCTTTCGAAAGACAATTTCACTAGCTACAAGATCAGCTCTTTTTCCTCGATGGAGAATTCCTCGTCTTGCACAATTCACTCTTTTAGTTGCAGATTCGAAACACAGTTCATGATAATATTAGTTCCGCAGATTATGTACTGGAAAGAAACTTCGATGTCGGAGATTCGACTTGTGACGTGCATATGTACGTCAAAAACACCCTGCACTAAGAGCCGAGACATTCTTACCCCGCGCATTAGTGGCTTTTGTGACGTTTGCGGCTACATCGTGGAACATCACTAAAAGGAACAAGGCCTTTATGAACTCGGCTTTTATTTAAATTTTAGTTGCACTGAGAAGCACGCTTTGCCTAACGAATCGGCTTTGGGAATAGTCTACCCACAAAGCTGTTTCCACTTCCTACACTACCTGGTACTAATTAGCCGCCTCCACTGGGACCAAGAGATCCACCAACCTGCCAGCTCAACGGAACGCTATTATCGAACCGCCGCCTACCTCTCCTTCCTTCAACTCTATATAGGTTCCGATCTGAAGCAATCAAATCATGACTGCTTGAAGGATCGTGCTCCTCACGTGGCCACACCCAGCTCAGCAGAGCCTCGCATTCATCACATTCCCATTACTTTGATTTTATTGGCTAGCAAAATGTCCAATATGTGTGTGAACTGGAAGGATACACAGACAAAACACTACCATAAATCAAAATTTGTGTTTACAGTGACCCTTCACGGTATCTACAATGCACGCCTATGATTGGACGACGAGGCAGATGGATGGAGAGGAACTGCCCACCGTCTTTGGTTTTCATTCAGTCTTATGCAGCTTGTGGAACGGATGTGGTGAGCTGAAATTAGCTGTAAACTAGCTCCCACTTGTTACACCCTTAAGAAGAGTTGAGAAATTCGGGGCAACGTTATGAAAAGACATCTCACACACTCGCACTAGAACTGTAGAAGTCGCAGCCATGTCACTCGATAATCCACCGGTAATCAGTGGGTTGGGGGTGCCAGTCTCTCCATCTAAACCTGCTGTGTTACCAACCACTGTCCCTGAACTTCGTTCAAGCTGTATCTTCTACTGGTTCTTATACCATTATACATAATTTTTCATTGCTTCATTGGTTTAGGGATAACTTTGTAATCTAGATGGATGTCTCTACGCCTCCCTATGGTTGGCGATACACAGCTGTAATTCCGCGTCTACCAACCGAAACGGAAATCGTTCGATGGCAAGGAAATCGGTGAGATAGTAACACTTTACAAATTTCGATGCAAATCACGAAGCAAACGCCGATATACACGCCCAGGAGAGGCAAAATGTGGTATTGGCATCGTTTACACATGGTTCAGATATTGAAAAGCTCACTGATACAACTCTCCTAAGCAGTTGTTACAACTCTCCTAAGCAGTATAGCCTGGTGTGTGTGACCTGCCTCAATGAGAAGAAAGAAAAACCAAGATTCTCACGGAAGCGATAACAATGACCTGCATGTCATATTGGTTCTTATTTCGCTGCACTGGCAGCGTATTCAAATGTCAGCACGATTCCGCATGTGAGTGGAATTCGTGGCGTATCCCAGAACAAGTTCAACCAACTTAGCGCGTTTTCACTACCCACACTTCTTTAAATAATTAATCCGATGGCTGATAGATGATTTTTAGAGAACTGCCGAAGTCGATGGGAGTTCCACCCTCAACCTTCTTTGCAACACCACCACCGAATTCGATTTACGAAACGATCCAATCATTTCCTGAAGGCCTCCATCCATTTAGCCGAAATACGGATCCTGCAGCGGATTATGAGAGTGATGTGAGTAATCGCGGCATTTCGAATAAATTTTGAGCAAATTCAGCATTTTTTAAATTGATAAATTTAGCTGTCATCTCCGAAATGATCAAGTTTCGGAGCCTTCTACTCTGCTAGATGACCCTTCCATTAAAATATAACTACAGAAAACTAGTGAAACTCTCACATCTCTGGGCGCTATTACGTATGGGGCCGTTCAAAATCAAGGAATAGATTTGACTGTGAGCATCACTAGGCACTACGCACCACATAAGCGGTGTGACCAGGATCCTAGCTCTAGCATGAAACATCTCCACTCCTGTTCACAAGTGAAAAGCTAATTGGCAGGGCGCTTCATCGTAAATGGTACAGACAGCAAAACTGCTGAGGTAGCTACGGTACTGGCTCTAATCACAAATCGAATCGAACCTGGTCCACAAGACAATCAATGTTATACATCATTGATGTCTGGATATGGGTACTAGACCAGTGTGGAAGGCATATGGGAAGAACGGCAACTGCTTTCTCATCGCCTGATAATGCAAACCTATAAGTCGAGTATGCGGCTTACTTCAGAGAAAATAAGGCCCACGCACTCCAATTCATTCATCCGATATTTCCAGACTCGCATGTATTTCCTGTTGAATTTTCGCTCCCAATAAGTAGTTCGTAGAAATTCAACCGTTAAGCGATCGAGGCCATTTTTTATATTTTTCACTTTTAATTTGCATACTCTTCTGATTTTCCAAACCTATTTCGATAACGGATTGGTTTATTTCAGAACATAGACACAATGGTTGATCCACCGTTCCCTCGTGTTCAACCATACTTCCTTTCGCCATTCAGTAAACAGAGAGACGGTTCCGCGGAAACCGATTTCATGGGTGGTTTTGTGAAACCTATGATTAAGAAGGTGAACTACTTATACAACTTCACCTCAGAGCACTTTTACCTAAATCCCGAACGAAATCGAGTTCAGATTGCAATGGACCAAGCCGAAACCTTCCTAGATCAGATTCTCTCCGACCAGGTAATCAAAGACGATAATGTCGTCACTCTTCAAAAACCACAAAGTTTGTCTGAAGACGGTTAGAAAGTGAAAAGCGGTTGGAAATCGCTTTTTACCCATTAATGAACAAGTTGAAGATGAACAGCGACTTTTGTGAACACCCGGTCCTCACATTTTACTCAAACAAAGTGCCTAATGTAAACTTATTTCATGTATTTCTCAGTTATGGGACTTCCCGAGAAAAACTTCTGAGCTTTAAGCTAGCATTCTCTCTGATTTTCTTTCGAATATTTTCACATCTCAATGTTTTTGTTGGCTATTTTCGTCGGTGTTGATCTCAGATTAATAAATATTGAAATCATAAGCTGTATTGACATATACATTTCAAAGCACGAAATTCGAGAAAAAATATAGTAGGAAAAAACAAGTTGCCTCCACGTGTTCCATAGATCGAACTTTCTTCAGCTTAAGTAGACGAACCTTCCCCATCCCAGATAAAATGGAGTAATTCTCGAACTACTACAAGAGAACGGGAATGGGCTGTCAGGCACACGCAATTAGACTTAAAGACTTATCCAAACGGAGAAGACTTATCCAAACGCCGACTATTATGGATGGAAGTCGCATGCATGGCCTACGTCACATTTCTACCCGTCTGTAGATGGTAGTGACTATCTGCAGAAAAAGAAGAAAGGTAAAGCCGTGAGTGCGATATCTCACTGGAGTGGTTCAATGCTAGCGTTATGAAGCCTCATCGTCCAATTTACAAGACGTTTCAAACCTGACACCACCGCTTGGAAAACTTAGAGGAACATACATTTAATCTTAGACTTGCCTGTGAACCTGAGCTTTCAACCTGTAGCCGGATATTGCACCAAACGACTGACTCGCGAGGAGAGGCATGAAACATTGACCGCGTCCGGAACTGATTTCACGATCCTTGGAAGTAACGAAAATAAAATTATCACTTGAAAACGGATGTTGAAACCCTTATGGTTCTGTAGTTTCATGTAAAAAATGCTGCTTCTCACAAGATCGATTAAAATTACGCCCTTCTCACTAAAAAAAATCACGGTGCAATGCAACTCTAAACGCGACGGTAGCACATTACTCGTTCAAGACCTTCAAAATTTATTTGAGCACTTCCTGTGTTGAGCCAACGAGGTGGCTCCACGTCTTGAAATGAATAATCAGAAAACATACAAAAAAGAAAAAGAAATGAGAGGAATTTGACCTCTATTCTTCAGGCACAGTTCGTGGTCTGTATTCTTTACTTCTGCTCTGACACATGGAACAAAGGTGCAAAAAGAGTGTAGTTATCTTCAAAACTAAAAACAATAGGAAAGCAAGAATAACGAATGATGGAAGGCACGCTACACAAATTTGCAAATTGAAAGCATATCGATTTACTCTGCAATGTGATCGGGGCAAAAATAGAAAGCGGTGGCAGGAATCCAAATTCATTGACAAGTGAATAACATCTACCACTATCACCACTTCCTCCGCTTGCTAGGGGCATAGCCTGCAGTGACATCTCGTACGGCCAATTTTTGTATTGGAGTTGGATTTTCGGGGATAGGCACAGAGGTCAGCTCGAAACCTAAAAGAAATATTACATTGTACATGATGGAATGTACATATAAAGTTATGCAACAAGACTCAACGGAATCTACCAGCGTTCATCCGCTAATTCACGATGAACCACTACTGGTCTTCGGAAGACTCGAAATGACAAAATTCGTTTGCCAATTCGCACCCAAAAAAAATCATATTGGGGGAGCCGCTCGAGAATACCTAACGCTCCCTAATGACGGCACAAGAAGGGGTCCTCTCCCACTGGACACAGTGCGGATAGGTTATCACCTACCCGCGAGAATATAAACACGAAGATAACAATCCTCATACTGTGTCGTCATCTGAGGAGATATTTAATCAGAAATACTTTAGGGCAAATATATCAGTACAACGTCCGAGCCGTGTGACGACAGGCAGCACCGAATATGAGACGAAAATAAAAAAAAAACATGAAAATGTTAGAACACTACCGAGTTGTTTTTCAAGAATACGCACGAAATAACCTAGTTTTTCGAGCTCTTTGATTTGTCCCTTCGTCAAGTAGGCCATCGGCACCACTTCCTTTGCCCAGTACCCACTGTGAAGGTTGTTATATTCGTATATTGCTTGATTCTAAAAGAAAATCAATTAATGTAAAAGGAAACTCTTTTAAATAACCGATAATGTACAATCCGCTACGCTATGCTACGTTGAGCGCAGCATAGACCCTACCTCGTCAAAACTTTCTTACTTTACAACTGATCGTTTCTTTATAACTTGGATTTGTTGGCGCTTTTGTTGAATCGGTTCGCATTTTCAGTTTTAATTCATTTATAAATGTGAGCTGAACAAGGAGTCAAATACTGAAACGCTCTGAATCTTAGGTTTGGGGGAAGTTAGTCCCAATCAAGTCCTTCAGGTAGAACGGAGTGAATATCTTGGGGTTAGTCTGATTGGCCTCGCATAGAATGCTGAATCAATTGAGCATCTCCTGCAAACCATGACAAAACACCCTCATGGAATGATAAGTATGCCCATAGGAGCTTTTTAGCCCCTCTTTTGCAACATCACCAGCGGTTTAGGCTTTTCGGAGTCATCAGGTTTATCATTCGCCCTTGTAGCCTGTCGAGCGAATTACCGTTTCTTCGAAGACCTAGGCAAAATGATGGGGCTGTTCCCATTTCTGCAGGACCCATCTAGCGGTGTCTACTTTGTCGCGAGCTTCTTGAAGGCCGGGGCAGTGCAAAAGTTATTGACGATTTGTATTTGAAGATATTTGTTGCAACATTTGAGTTCACGTTAGTCATTCAATATACTTGTGCTCCACATAAACAACATTAGGTCCGAAAAATGAAGTCTTTCAGCGTTAAACAATCCCGTGTGAGGAACATTTAACTTCCATTCAGAATCGTAGTGGCGTATTGAATGCGTGTGTAGCCTATACAGTGAGTTGCGGTGGCGAGCGGATGTACAAGTCAGTGATTTTATCTTCCCAGAGGAGTTTGGTACCGGTAAAGGTTGGCCTAGGCGGTCATCGATCCCGGATTCGAACCAGGGACTAAGCGCGCCTTAAAGTGCGCCACATGCCATTACACCGCCTTCGCCCATATAAACAACAACATACATAATTTTTCTTATTCACTGGCTAGCAAAGAACAGTGGTGAGGCGTGAGATGCTCTACAGTGGCGACTTAGTGCATTAGCATTTAAAAATTATGATTGATAACTGCACTCCGCTGAAATGAGGATGCTCAGAACAGCATGCCCCAGAAGGGAGGCAATGGAAGTCGAGGCGCCTGAAGAACGAACGCGAGGAATCCCAAAGAAGGGGTGAGGGGATGCGATCAAGGAGGTCCTCGCCAAAATCAAAGCAGAAGATGCCGTAGATCGACACAGGTGCAGACGGCTGACAAGAACAGGGCACCTTGCATCGGTAAGGGAACAACGTTAATGAGAAGAAGACTGGTCAACTGAAGATCAGTGTGGCAACGGATTGATTTGGTGGAACAATGAAAAGGTGAAAACGTGGTTGGGGAGGAGGTACACATATACCACATATCACACATATCCATATCTACACATATCTCAACTATTAGACCGAGGAAACCACTGCTACCACCACACAAACTAACATGTAGCACCCTGCACCTTTGCAAAAAATCAGTTGCGATGGTTGTTCACCCTTATGAGTATTTCCAGTGATTTTGTAAAGTCAAGATGAAATATAAGCCAACTAATGATTATAAAAAAACTCAAAAAAAACTATTAGCTTTCGACTTGAACATTGAGAGACATCGAAAAACAGCTATGGTGAGAAGCACGTGATAGTTATCTCCACTAATTACCGACACCCCGCGTAAATTGAATTACTGAGACGGATAAAAAAATCAAAAATGAAGGTGTAAGCAAACTCACGTCTTCTGTGAAATAAATGGGAATGTCACCAACTCGCCCATAACTTTCAACACGATCACTTATTACATTCTTGTCTGGTAACCACCTCAACAGTCAAGAATGGATTCTGCTAGGTGCAGGAATTCATAATAGAAAAGAAAGAACGACGGTGAAGTCTTAGTAGAATGTTTGGATCATTCAATCGAGCGCGTACTTCAGTTCCTTTCTAATCTTTGCAACACTTACATTTGATGCTGCATCCGTGCCGTGTGCACGACGACTTGCTTTCCATTGCAATGAATAGTCTGAAAAATCGAAATGAAAACCAAACAACACAATAAGGCTGAGAACTAATGCTTGAACAACGATTAGGATGAAAATCGGAGCTTTTCCTTCTGATTATTACCAAAATGACAATGACTTCTTAATGGAGATAGTATTCCTTAAAATTCGCTTAAAAGCCGTTACAAATAGCGCTTTGAAAGTGTTATGTAAAGAATACTACCGCCTATGTGCGATGATGACATATGTTCGAGGCTCAGGTGATGGGTTCTGACAAAGGGAAGATTGAGCTAGTCATTGTTCAATTAAAGGCACAGTTCACGATAATTTTGGGTAGTCTAGATTATGATGAAAAATGGGAGACAAGATCGAAACTAATGCGACTGAGGTGAAGAAACTGCGCGCA